CGAAGTCTGCGCGGCGCCGAGGCGACAAGCTACATTGTTGCCCGATCGCGCGTCGACGAAGTGGCGTGCGCTAAACGCGCGACGCACCCACCCGGGAGCTCAATTCTCTAGAAGACTGAGCGCGAGGCGGGAGCGACATGTCGGCCGTTCGCGCGGCATGCGCGCCACGCCCCACTCCCGCCACACATTCTGCAACATGGAAGACAGAATGTCCACGTTGAGACGAAAGGCGTCGACGTTGTTTTGTTGTTTTCCACGAGTACGATGGAAGGGCCCGGATCGGGTCACCATCGGCCGGCTATGTGGCAGTGGAAGCGAGGGCCCCGCCTACTCCCCCCCTCCCACAACATAAGAATCGCTTGTGGTACAGCTTGGTATTGGGATTGGAACGCCTCCCACCTCGCAAACCGAAGGCACTCGCGCGCAGCTCTGCTTCCGACGACTCGGCGGAGGGAAAACTGCGCGGGCCACGAAGGAGCGGGGGCGGCAAAACTTCCAATGGGCGCGGCGGAAACGAAGCACGCGCTGCGCTGACACAGCACTGCCAATTTCACTCACAATCTGCGCGGCACTTGGGCGAGGTCGGCATTTCGCCTGCTCTAGCGCGGCCCCGCGGCCGCCGTCGACTTCACACGATTTGGCGAACGAACTATGCGCCGCGCCCGCGCTGAACACCACTTACGAGCGGAATGTGCACAAAGCTTGGGCGAGAGAGACAAGTCGCCCACCCGCGCGGGATCCCAGAATCGGCGGGCGAAAAATATGCGACGCGTCGAGGCGGAAGCGCCGCTTTCACGCGATATCTGCGCGGCGCCGACGCGAGAACATGTTTGCACGCTCGCGCTTGCACGAAGTACAAGCGCGTCGCCGAGGCGACAGCACAATTTGGGCTTTTCGGAAGGGATGCGCGCCCCGTCCAACTCCTGCCAGGCAGGTAACAACTTGGACGACAGAATGTCCATGCTGAGACGAAAGTCGTCGACGTTGTATTGTTGTTTTCAGATGGAGGGTCACGGATTGGGCCCATGGGAGTTTGAATAGAGTAGAAGGAGGAGTATGAGTAGGAGTATGGTCAACTTACAGCCAGGTCGAGCGAGTCAGAGGGCCCCGCCTACTCCCGCCCTCCCTCCCACAACATAAGAATCAACTGTGGCACCCCTTGACATTGGGATTGGAACGCGCTCCCACCTCGCAAACGGAAGGTGCTCGCGTGCAGTCCCGCTTCCGACGACGCGGCGAGTAGAGTAGAGTAGAGTAGGGTAGAGGAGAGGAGAGTAGTGTAGAGTAGGATCGGCTAGAGTGAGGTAGAGAAGAGTAGGGTGGAGTAGAGCACAGTAGAGTAGAGCAGGGTAGATGGTAGTGAAGTCAAGTAGAATAGAGTAGAGTAGAGTAGAGTAGAGTGGAGTGGAGAGGAGTGGAGTAGAGTAGAGTAGGGCAGAACAGAGTAGAGTAGGGGACAGCATACAAGAGTAGGATAAAGTAGGAGTAGAGTAGAGTAGAGCAGAGCAGAGTAGGGTAGGGTAGGGTAGAGCATAACAGGGTAGATGGTGTAGTAGAGTGGGGTGGAATAGAGTAGAGTAGAGTACAATGAAGTAGAGTCCACCCCAGTCCAGCCCAGTCTATTCCAACTTGGTCTATCTCAGTCCACTCCAGTCCAGTTCATTTCAGTCGTCTCATCTCTTGACACCTGCTCTGGACGGTATTGTTCTTGGCGCTGAGGGGCTGGAGGTCCAGGATTATAAAAAATGCTCGCAAGGTGATAAGAATGGGCGAGTGGATAAGATGACGAACACGAAAAGGCCAATCCGAACCTTGACGCTGTTCCCACTCGTGGCGAAAGTCCCCTGCGGTCATGTTGTCGGAACAGGAAAGCCGCTGGTCTCGATCCTTAGCGATGCCAACGGCAACTGCCAGAGGGAAGGAGGCGCGATAGAGAAGTACAGAGGGAGAAATAAAGAAAGTAACGAAACTGCACTACATCGGTTGAACACCACATGGTACACGCACTGCCTGCGTTGCACTACATAGATCCTTTCTCCTACCATAAACGGGACCCCCCACACCCCGAGGCGGGGATTATGCGTCACCCTCCACGCATTGCATTTCCGTTGTTATTTCTTCACGACCAATCACTCTCAATATCCAATCACTCCACCCTAGACAGTGCCGTCATCGCCCGCCACCGCCCCCACCTCCACTCCCCATCACTAGCAATGTAATACCATGCTGTGATCACGCGCTGGTCAAAGAAGTGCACCTTGTAAGAATCCCGACGGGACAACGCCATGCAGGCCATGCGCAAGCGCCCCCGTGCGCGCATGTCAGAATCACACCAACAAAAAATCAGAACTTACCACTTACATGTATGACCGATGGCTTATCAATAAAAAGTCAACAGTTCCGCGCGCTTTCCCTAAAAACACAAGAACGCAATAAGTTGTTGTGCCACTTTGTCAATCCTGCCCATGAAGGTTACACACGCGCGCATATCGCAATCATTCAACAACCATCGCGCCTCAGCCAACTCCATCAAAAGATATTGTGCGTGCCACCCACACGCGCATGACGAAAGCATCGCAACAACAACTGGTGTGCGTCAACAGTTCAGAACAGGGGTGTTCATAACGTATAAAAGCAAACGGTTGCCCAACCTGTTAGCCAACATGAACTCCAAACACTGAGTTGTTGCAATGTGGCGGTGGAACATGTTGTCGAGACATGTTGTGTACGCAATGTGATCCACTGTATGGTGTGTAAGCTGTGCAGTGTGCGCATTATGGTGCCAGCTATGTTGTGCAGGCCATGTGGTGCAAACTATGATGTGTGACACGTAAGTGGTGTCAGCGATGTGCTGTGAGCTATGTTGTGTAAGCTATGTGGTGTAAGCTATGTTGAAAAAACTCTGTGATGTGAGCTGCGTGGTGTGAGCGGTGCTGTGTAACTTATGTGGTGATAGCTATGTGGTGATAGTTGCGCAGTGCAAACGAGATGGTGAACACTAAGCGGTGCAAACGATGTGGCGCGAGCCAAGTGGTGTAGGCAATGCGGTGTAAGTTATGTGGTGCAGGCTATGTTGTATCAACTATGCGGTGTAAGCTATGTTGTGTGAGCTACGACGAGCCAGCCACGAAGCGGCCACGTGCGGAGACGCGGCGAATCCTCGATATGCGGTGCAGTTTACGTGGTGCAAGCTAGGAAGCGGCCACAGGCGGCAACGTGGCGAACCCTCACCGGACCCACCCAGCGCAACAGGCTGCCACGAGGCGGCCACGGGCAGACGAGGCGGCCACGACGCGGCCACGGGCTGCAACATGGTGAACCCTCGCCAGACACACCAAACGCACGAGGCGACCACGAGGTGGCCACGGGTGGCACCGTGGAGATTCCTTGACACACCCAACCACGCAGCCAGTTCCGAAATAACATGTAGTTTTTTGCGCCGTGGGCGTGTAATCCATGTGGCGCAAATTATGCGGCGCAAGCTACGTGGCACAAGCTACGTGATACAAGCTACGTGGTGCAAGGGATGCGGCGCAAACAAGGAAGTGCAAGCTATGTACTGCAAGTGCCGTGGTGCAGTCTACGTGGCGCAAGACACGCGATGTGAGCTACACGTTGGGCGCCGCGGGCGGCCACGGGGCGGCCACGGGCGGCGACGGTGGGGGGCTGCCGCGGAAACTCGAACGGAAATCCGAACGCGCACTGCTCGAACTCTCGGCATTGCGAAAAAAAAAAGAGGCCGTGGATCGGCATGGCAGCTGTGCAGGAGGGGGACACAAGTGGAAAGTTGTCTTGACTCTATTCCTGTTCCAACAAGAGCGTTACTTCAGCGGGACGGGGAAAAGGAGAGCAGGAAACGGGATGGTCACATTGGGGAACCTTAAAGTTAAAGGACACGCTCTGACAAACGCAAGGGGATCCAAGATGTTTGCTCAACGGGGCGTTCGTCTGGGGCCGCGGGCGCCCACTGAAACCCGCCGAGGGCCATCCTGGCGGAGTCTGGAAGCCTTCGGTATCCGTTGAAAAAGCAATCCTTCGGCACCCTCGGGGCGTGATGGACCAGTCCGGCAGACTTTCGCACCGAGTGCTGAAGCATGTGCGAAGGTCACGGGGGCGTTTGTGGGGCCCCTGGAGCGGCCATGCCAACCCGGGGCCCTGGTCCCGGGGACGCCCGCGGCCAACCCCGAGATCAATATACATACGTCTATATATATATATACACACACATAATGTAAACTATATATAGGTATGTTTACATACACCTACTTATACGACCACCCTGCAGGCGATAAGGAGGTTGGGGGGAGGGCCCCAGCAATGGGCAACAATTGTGATCGTTGTTGTGACGATGCCAATGGAGAGCGTTGCGTTGCCGATCGCTCTTGGGAGCGTCGGGGTCGAGTTGTTTACATCACCCTTTGTTTTTTGGCGCGTTGGTACCATTGGCCCTTCCCCCCGGGAACCAGCCCAACCTGGCCAACGGCAGCCGATGGTCACAGAAAAGTGGAGACTGGAGCGCTGGCAAAGGCTGGCGCAGCCCGTGTCCCCTCTTGAACTACCGATATCACTAGCGATATCACTCAATCGATCTCGCTCGATCAATATCACCATCAATCTCAAAATCGATATCATCATCATCGACGTCTCTCGGCCGGCCACACTGTCGATCTCACCATCGATCTCACAACCGACCTCACAGTCGACCTCACGATCGGCGTCCCTAACCATATCCCTTTCGATATCACTCTATCGATTTCACTGTCGATCTCACCGTCGATCTCACACGCGATCCCACCATGCCGCTCGACACATATGCCGCTCGACACACGCGCCACTCTCTCCGTCTCTCCGACCATGCCTGTCGACACGAAGACTCCTTGCGCAAAATCGGGAGCACGGCCGGGCCGCTCACTGTCAACGGCGAGCTGAACTCAAGAACTGATGGAAAAGATTCCGCAGCCCGGTCGGCCCGCTCACTGACAACGACGACCAAGGAATCTTCATGCGGTAGTGATCGTGGTCGTGGCTCGGCGGGCGCTGGCAAAACCTGGCGCTCTGGAGACTGGTTCAACTGCTGGTGTAGGCGCCGGCAGCGCGGGCGCAGGTGCAGGCAAAGGAACCGGAGTTGGCGTCGGCGCTGGCGGCGGCAACGCGTAGCGGCCGAGTCGTTTGTACCGCCGCCCGCCGCCGCTGAGGATGTCGCCCAGCTTCACGCAGCACTTGTCTATCTCCGACGCGGGGCCGCCCTCCGCCACGTGGTCGAGCAACCACTGGAGACCGCAGACCAAGTACTGCAGGCGCCAGAAGATCTCATCCACTGGCCGGGGGCTGTCGTCCTGAGAGTCTCGCCGATTTTGCCCCTGCCGCCTCGCGGTCCGGAGGCGCCCATGGGGCGCCTACGGACCGCGAGCCTGCAGGGCCAAATGTACGGCTCTCCGGTCCGGATTCCACGGCTCGTAAGTCAAGATGTCCTCCATGCGGCTGTGGATCCTCTGGGCGAACATCGTGATCGAGTGCTGCATCGGGGTCGGGCTCTGGCCGACGGGCTGCAGATGGGCTTTGGACAGCGGACGCCACACCGCGCCAAAACGCAGGCGACGAGCGCCGATGGGCAGGCGCGGGGACCGGCTGCCCTCGCGACGCCGGATGTCGGGCTCCGGCAGGTCCATCCGGCGGAATTGCAGTAGTCAGAGGGAGCCTTGCGCTAGCAAAGCCTGGCCCAGCCTGCACGGTTGAGCGAGTACACACGCACGTGGCGAAAAAAAACCGAACCGAAATTAATACGGTGGCCGTTGGGGGTGCTTTTGGGCCCTCTTGGGGCCGTCTTGGGGCCGTATAGGGTTTTTTTTCAGCCGTTTGGGGGCCGTCTTGGGGTCCTCTGGGGGCCCCCTGGGCAAGTATTGGGGCCCTCTCGGAGCCTCTTGGCCCCTCACGACGACGACGACGACGACGACGACGACAACGACGACGACGACGACGACGACGACGACGACGACGACGACGACGACGACACGAAAACGGCGCCGGAGCTCCAGGCACTTTTCACTCGGCACCCCGGTCCAGCAACGACCAACCACCGACGACGACGACGACGACGACGACAACGTGAAAACGGCGCCGGAACTCCAGGCAATTTTCACTCGGCACCCTGGTCCACCAACGACCAACAATCGACGACGACGACGACGACGACGACGACGACAACGACGACGGCGACGACGAAAACGGCGCCGGAACTCCAGGCAGTTTTCACTCGGCAACCCGGTCCACCAACGACCAACGACCGACAACGACGACGACGCCGACGACGACGCGAAAACGGCGCTGGAGCTCCAGGCAATTTTCATTCTGCACCCCGGTCCAGCAACGACCAACGACCGACGACGACGACACGAAAACGGCGCTGGAGCTCGAGGCAATTTTCACTCGGCACCCTGGTCCAGCAACGACCAACGACCGACGACGACGACGACGACGACGACGACGACGACGACGCGAAAACGGCGCTGGAGCTCCAGACGATCGATCTCACATGAGATTTTCCTCCCACCCGCCCACACAATTTCGCCTCGCCCGCGCGCACGGCACGCGCGAACACAAAACCGAAATCGATTTCCCGGTAGGGGGGCTCTGCGAACACCTTGGGGCCGAACGGCACGCACGACGCGAACGCGAAACCGAAATCGATTGTCCAGTATAGGGGGTCCTCGTTGCACTTCGGACTAACCCTCTCAACCTCCAATGCCCCAGTGCAGGATCAAACTCGACCCCACATCCCCACATCCCCCGCACTCCGAAAACGGCCACCCCACCACCTGCCTCATCATCCTACACCATATTCCCCCTCCTCTTCCTCCTCCTCCTCCTCCACCTCCCCCTCTTCGTCCTCCTCCTCCTCCTCCTCCTCCTCCCCCTCCCCCTCCTCCTCCTCCTCCTCCTCCTCCTCCTCCTCCTCCTCCTCCTCCCTCCTCCTCCTCCTCCTCCTCCTCCTCCTCCTCTTGGGCACCCCTTGGTAGCCTGTCGGGGATGGTGCACGCTCGCTGCCTTCCCGGCACCGCGCGGTCGAGCATCGGACCGCAAAGACGGCGGGGGCGGGCCGGCGGCGGGGGCGGGCCGGCGGCGGATGCCTCACAGCGTCGCACAGGCGACGGACGCGGAGGCGGCGGAAATGGTCGTCGCAGAAGCGCCAGCAAAGCTTGGCGCACCCTATTGCCCGAGCGCCGGGCAGCGCCCGCGTGCGCCGAGTGCACCGAGACGAGGCGGAGCTGCGACACGCTGACAAAGTCTGGCGCGGGGGTCCGGCGCCATCACGATTCCCGCGACAGATAAACATGGTGTAAATCATTGTTGCCCACGTGAACAACGACGGTGACGTTTTCTGGCCCATAAGACGTGATCGCCCACTGCACCAATGCCGTCGCTGGAGCGAAAGGGACGACAGCGAAGCGGATGCCGAACTCCAAGGCGGCCGACATCACGACCTACTCGCCCGCGTACTCTTTAGTGGCCAGCTTCTGTACCCAGCGAGCGCACAGCGCCGCGGCGTGCACGGGGCCCCGGACACCCAGGCCAGCAAAGGCTCTGTTCTCCATGTCGGGTCTGAGCAGCACGGCGGCTTGGCCGCCGCAGAACAAAGCCCGCAGAGCTTCCGCCACCACGCCCAAAGGCGAATGGCGCACGCCAGCGTTGACAGACCGCTGCGCACCCTGCGCCGTCAGTCGGCCCGCCGCTCGACGGGCCGGAGCGTTGCCCGGCAAAGCCTGGGCCAGAACGTCTGGCCCGCGTTCGGCCAGGCCTGATGCGAGGCATAGCCAGAAGCACGCGCACCCGCGGTTCGGCCCGCACACTGCCCCAGGCCCCGAACACGCGCGTCGAACTGCAACTCGCGGCGCGCGCGCTGCGAGCACTGCGCCAGGACTTCGCTACCCCTCAACATTTCGCAGTCGAGAGCCCGGACCGTCTTGGCCGAACGGCGGCGAAACCATTCGCGCGCGTCGCACGGTGTGCGCTGCGCGCCCAGGCCGTTGAGCAGGAGCACCAACGTTTGCCGAAACTGGAACGACGTCTGCCCCAACGCACGGGCGACGTCAGCCTCGTTGAAGCCCGCGTCGGTCATGGTCGCCGCCGCAGCCTCCGCCCCCGAAGCCGCGGGCCCCGGGGTACCCGTCTGCGCCGACGAGGTCTTGCCGCAGGGGCCTCTCCCCCCGCGAGCCCGCAAAGCCTGGCCCCGGCTCGTCTTCTTCGGTTTCTGCGCGCGGAACGAGGCCGCGACACTCCACGGGCCGGCGGCCTTGCGGCCCGATTGCTTGTAGCAACACCGGGAGGCGCTGTCGCCGATGGGCGCCGCGCCCACCGCGGACAGCATCGCCCGCAGATCTGCCAGCTCAGCGCCATTAGGTTCGCGCCCTTCCTTTGCGAGCGCGGCGGTCCGCAAGCGTTGCTCGCGCTCAGCAAGCAGCGCTTCAGGAGAAGTGCCTCTCCGCTCGAGCAGCCCGGCAAACATGGCGTCTGCCTCGCTCTCGAACTCGGCCCCGGCGAAGACGCCATTCGTCAGGCGCGCGGCCAGAAAGTCCGTCAAGGGCGGGGGCTTGCGCCACGAAGGCCTCCCCGAGCTTGCCCGCCGGGCTGGGCCCGCGACGCCCAGCAAAGGACACGATGCAGCCCTCTTGCGCCGCGATGCCCTGCGATTCGCGGACGGCGAGCGCCCGCGCCAGGCGCAAGGGCATGCCAGCGCGAGTCATGGACTGCAAGGTCTTGCGCCGCACCTCTGCGCCGGGGACTGGCACCCAGGCCCCTGGGGGATTGTCGAAGCAAGCGGGCCCCTTGCACGCGGGGAAATGCACGACCACGATGTCAGGAACTGGGCAAGCGGGCCCCCCCAGGGAAACGCTCCGATGGCGGAGCTGGGATAGCCGACCCCTGCGAGGGCACTCTGACCAGTTCGCTGCCCCCCTGGGGAGGCGCACGCGACGGCGACTACCACTCCCCGAGCCCCATTCACGAGCCCGAGGGGCACAGCGGGGACGCCCCATAAAGAAGCGTGCGTTAACATCGCCCGCGCCCCCACGCACAGGTGGAGCGCCCTGCGGAGCTGTCGGAAGTCATCAGCACTCCTGTGTAATCCGCGCGGGTCGTTGCGTCGTGCCTCTGCCCCCACGACGACGCCCCCCGCGCTGGCCAAGCCTGGCGCGCCGTGAAGTGGCGCCCTGGCTGCCAATCGCTTACCGTCGATATTCCCGACAGCTTGGTTCTCCGGCACGAGCACCAACCCCTCCCAGACGAGAGACTCACCGCCCTGCCACGCGCGCGGGTTGGCCGGCCTCCCGCTCGCTGACAACGACGACCAGGGGATGTTCATGGGGTGCTGCCTTTGGTGGTCGTGATTGTAGCGGTCGCGGCTCGGCGGGCGCCGGTAAAGCCCGGCGCCGCGACGCGTTCGCTGCGCCCACGCTTGCGGGGGCCGGGGTCCGGATTGGAAGCGCCTGAGTTTAGGGCGGCGCTCCTCCGACCCATAACTGCTGCCCACGTGGTGGACATGGGGGGCGCCGCCGGACTGGGGCCCGGCTGCGGGCTCGTCAGAACGGTTCTCCACTCCGCCACCATGCTCTTCTGCAGCGCCAGACGTCATCCTTGGAAAGCTTGACGACGTACTCGATTGCGGCCGCCCGGCACGCCCCGTCGGCCTCGCCGGCAATGCCCGGCGCCGGGCACTCGACAGCTGACGCGAGCACGAGAGCCGTTTCTTTGTGCAAGCGGTACTTCAACATCTTGTTGAAGTCGCAGTACCAACCAACTTGATCTTACCATTTGCGCCCCCCGTCGACTGATCGGGTCGGTCAGTAGACACAAGGTCTCTGTCGGAGACACCTTGAAAACCTGATCTGTCAGCGCCTTCGCATCGTCAAGGGACTCTATTTTGGTTGCGCTTTGGCCGCGCACCAGCAGCCACACCCTGTTTGCACCGATGTTTTTGGCACCGTCGCGGCAGACTGCCAAACCTCGGAGCGGGCCCTCGACGACGCGACTCACAGGCACCGGCAGAACGACATCGCCGGACACCACGGAGAGGCTGTAGCACATACGCAAGGCACCCGTGGAAACCACTGCGTCCAGAAGCGCGATGCCCACCTCCGTGATGCATCGCTCGGCCACCCCGTTCTCCTGGCGGAGAACGCCCCGACTGTTGAACCGGTGCTTGGAGCCCGTCAAGGACTGGGCGTCAAGCTTGTCCGCCACCTCGTCAGCAGTCGAGCAATCGTAGAGTGTCGGGGCAACATCGGTGACCACGTCTACGCCCACCCCCCCGGCGGCATCCCGAAGACGACAATTCCGGAGGAAGAGGCGGCCGTCCTGCGCGCACACCGTGCCCCGCTGTGGCAGCGCGTCCAGGAGGCACCGGTTGATCTGAAACGCGATGGGCTGGGGGTGGGCAACGGCGTCGGCCAACGCCATGGCGCGCGCGGAGTGCGCCGCGGCCTCCACGACACTCGCTAAGCCGCCGCCGGAAGACGGCATCCACTGGGCGGAAAGCACCTCGGCCGACAGACAGATAACGCCCAAGCTCGTCAAAGACTGAGCCCGATCGCCAACGGTGCCGACGCGGGCCCCCGGCCAGATCTCGATCTTCACATCGCCGTTCTCAAGCGCAGCACTGCCTCCGAGAACAGCG